GCACACTGCGTCTGATTTAGAGCAGGGAGAAGTAAGCAGTGTGGAGAAGCTTAGACCAGACGATGGCGACGGAGGATAGAAGTGTGGAACTTGTCACAGGAACGCTGTTGTCCATCTTATTGACGGAGATTTTCAAAGCTCTTAAAGATGGGACGATGGCCTACAGTAGATGTCGTAAAGAGTGCGAGGCACTACAAAACGAGCTACTTTTCATTCAGCAGGACGTGGATCTCATAGAAGCGAGGTTGTTGAGGCTGAGTAGTCTCCACGCTGACTCTGACGATCTGAAAATGGCACAAAATTGGTTGAATAATCTTTATGGAGAGATGGAGAAGGCGAAGAAGCACATTGAAAAGTTCAACAACAGGAAGGTGCCGTGGCGACCCCCCGGACTGTTGGAGAATTTGAAGGCATCGTCTGCTCGCATCACGACTATTGCGGCAAATCGTGCCGGCCTCTACATGCAACTTCCTCATATAATACCTGGTGAAGGTATGTATCCACCAGCTTCACCAGCGCATGCCTACAATTGGGGATCAAGCCATCATGCTCAACAATCACACCACAACTATTTTAACAACAGCTACTATGCCACGACCTCGTCACAGCCGGAACACCATCATGTTTCCGGAGGCATGCACCAGAACTATTATCCACAACACGGAGAATATCATACATCAGCCCCGCATCCGCCTCCGGGTACTCCACACGGACACAACTTCGGCTACGTACATTGGCCCCACTACTGTGGTTCATAATCACGGGGATCATCCCACTCTTGACAACTTGGTTTGTAGGGAGCTCATGCAGCGACACTCTCCATTTACCTCTTGTAGCAAATGCACTCCCAGCACAACCTTTCTCCCAGCTCTGGTTTTCGTTACTGGTTTTCATCAGAAATAATGCCAGACATGTAGTATGCACAAAAGAAGGCTGAGCATGAGGACCTGAAATTCGCATAACGGTGGTGGAGCAATCTTGCAGCTGTAATGAACAAGGAGATAACTGACGTCGTTAGTGCAGGATCAGTAGATGGAGGAATTACCACAGAATGTTAAAACATTGGCTTAATTCCAAAACCGCAAAAATTGACACTGAAGTTTTTAGGGGTTTTATTGACACAAACAAAGATTACGCCGCCTTAGGTTGATAGAATTATGGGAACATTGGCTCCCAGTGTAGTAACACCCATGGTTGCAGGTAGACAACCACTGACACTCTACTTCATACTTCGAAGAGTATTGCAATTTTGTCAAAATCCAAGGTCTCAGTTTTTGGATATTGTTGATGTGTGATCATGTATTTTTTAAAGATTTGCTGCAATGTTTATGTCTGATAAGTTTTACACCACGTTCCTCACTTGTGTGATGAAGTCACTTTATAGTTTGTGAATTGCAATTTCAAAATAAAAATCAATCTAAACAATATTCATATTTACTGACTAGAAAAAAGAATTACGGTTTTCAATGATTAGTAGGAAAAGATAGAAGGGGATTTCATGCTTTTCGAATAATTCTGGAGTAGGATTGAAATTTATGCCATGATAATTCTCGCAACAATTAGGTGGCATCTTATCATACAGTTAAATTTTGCTTTTTATTATCTGCAGTATGTGAATGTGATTCAAGTCGAAAGATGCAAGCAGAGAGAATCCCTCAACCTCCATAACGAAAGGATATCCATAAGGAAATAATGCATTGATTGTGGTGCAACTCTGGAATTATAAAATTACAAGTCTTGGGAGGTGTTGATTAATTTTTCTCTTAAAGTATTACATTTTCAACTATCAAGTATTGTGAATCTTAGATAAAGAAATTGTAAAAAATAAAGAAACAAACACTCATTTGTACATTGATTATCATCTGAGAATTAGTCCAATTCAAATTCTTTTTCAATGTGTCAAGCACATTAATAAATTTCAAACAAAAAATAATTTTACATGTTAATAATAAAAGACCCAAAATTATATATATATATATATATATATATATATATATATAATTTATTTATTTATTTATTTAAAAAATTTTGTGCACATGTTCAATAATGACTTTGTCTTGATTCTTTTCCGAGTTGGATTGATTTGGAAATTCTGTACAAGGCTGAATCGCTTTGACCCATTTGCAAAGCTTATATTGGCACTTTCTAAAATTGCAGTTCGCTGCATGTAATTATTTCTCCACTTGAACTCTTAAATAGACAAGAAGAGTATACTTCAAGTATTCTATTTTCAGTATTATTTGACAGTCGGGGCATATTCGATGCATTTATTAGAAGGTAATTACAAAACTATTATATTTTTGAACTCACCTATTTTGCCTATGAAGATATTGTTCTTGTCAAGGAAAAACTGTTACAAGGCATACAGCATCTTCTTACTACAATCTTAATTATTATTTTTTTTTAAAAGAACAGTGTGCTTTTAAAATAAAGAAATATAATCCGAGGTCCTAGTTGGGTTACTTGGCGAGGTATGAGCTGGGTGACAATCTCCAGCAAGGAGAGATGAAATCTCCTGCAGAACACATTTTTTTCACACCAAGTGGTGAAAAATTCATCTGCGATTTTACACTTCTTGACCTCACCACACTTACCATAAAAGCTAAGGATATGGTGATGTCTGGCCATGCCAGTATGGATCATATTGAGCCAGGCTAAGTTATATGGTTTGCTATTGAGTAATACATTACATCTAGCGCACTGAATTTGCCACAAGATCGGACCACGGAAGATGTCCTTAGCGGGGTTGAGAAGTTTATCTGTAGGAGTGTAGGTTTTGTTTGTGCGAGTACTAGGCAGTACGTTTGACAAAGTTTCCTTCCACAACAATGTAGAGGGCCAATTCAGAACCTGCCAAATGAATTCGAGGTACCTCCAGGTTTGTCGAGCGAATAAACAATTGCAAAGACAATGTTCTATCATTTCTGAGACTCCTCTGAGACAGCTCTTGCAGTTACTAGGATGACCCATGATCACACTCCAGCTACATGTAGAGTGGCCCCCGAATTAAGTTGCCATTGGAAGTACTAAATTTTGGCCGGTTTTTGGAAGTCCCATCTTTGTTTTATTGAGGTGCTTGTTTCCTCCGCAAGTAAACCAAGTTGTTCTTGTTTGACCTTTAGAGGTGTCCCACCAGATTTTGCGCGTAGTGGGGTGTAGTATCCTCGCTTGGTCGAGTAAATGTAAAAATTTGCCTTGAGGACAGAGGGCAGGTGTTGCCACTTTTTTCATGGATTGAAAAGAAGGGAGCTAACTAAGCCCACTGACCACACTGATCCGTGGTAGTCCGCGGTTGAATTGACCGACATGGTGCGTAAGTCGCCACAGGTCGTGACAACTCTAGCTCGTCGAAGATCCATGCCCAGAGTATGGACAAGGAGTGCAGAACTACGGTGGTAGTAGTCTTGCCTGTTGTGTATAAACTCGGCGAGTGTTTCGAGTCCTGTAATTGGAAAAGGCGGTCGATTGCTCCGTGCTTAGTGACCGTGGCTGCCCACTCAAAATTCACAAAGACGGGTTGTTGTGCCATGCACCAGTAACCTGGTATGGAGTGAATAATTTCTAGACACCGTTGGTCCGTGCCTCAAGCCTCCAAAATCTGTGAGACCTTCTCTATTGTTTTCCACCGTTTTCTTGGACTGTCCCATATGTCCTTCATGCTGATGAGGCCCTTCTTCATCTATGTGCTTTCATATGAATAAGGAGTGTCGCCGAGGACCCTTATGTGGGGGTCTAGAATTTCACTGTTCCAAAATATGTCTTGGCGTGTAATATTGTGTGTGTCAGTGGGTTGTTGGAAGATTAATGCGTGCCAAATTAGTGTCCAAGTCTTCTACACAACTTCCCACAGTAGTGAGCCTTTTTCGTGGATTGAGGTAGCATAAAAAATGAAATGGAGGTGTGCCAACCCTCCCTTCTTGGGTCGGATTGCATGGAAGCGGTATTGGATTAACATCTTCCAAGGCGCCCTCCTTGGTATCATACCTCTGATAAAGATTTTGGTCATGATGGCTTGAGGTTGTAGCCCGAGAAGTTGCAAACCTCTCTCCCGACGCAATTGTATGAAAGAGTTCCAAGAAACTCTAGCTCTACAATTTTGCTCCCTGTTTTCCCTGACAAGTTGTAATTGTTGATTAGTGCTTTCACCTTGTTGATCATAAGAGGAATCCGTGACCAGCTCAAAGCTTTGTACTACACATAGGCAAAGAAGACTTGGTTTGCAATGAGTATGCAGCTGGCCAAGGATAATTTTGTAGTGCTCCAGTATGAGAGTTTTTGTCGGATAGATTGAAGGACTGATTTAAAACAGTCCTCTGGGGTTACATTATATCCAATTGTAAATCCCAACAGTCTTGTTGTTTTGTCCAGGGCCAACCAGCGGATCCCTTCTTCAGCACCCCACGTGAATGGTTTTGGGGTATGTGAGACCCAAATAGCCGTGGAATTGTTTCAATTGATTTGTGCACCAGCAGCTTGAGCTAAGGTAATGAGGGTGTACTTTGTCCGGTCAAGGTTCTCCTGGGTGCCTGTTAAGTATAATGCATGTATAGTGTAATGCAGTATCATCCGCAAATTCCTCATTTGCAATTTGGGAGTGTCCGTCTAGAAGTGTGATTTTGATTACTCCTTCATCACTTTCTAAAAGACATCCCAGGTAATCAACTATGAATACTCCTTCATCACTTTCTAAAAGATATTCCAGGTAATCAACTATGAATAGATATAAGAAAAGGGCCAAAAGACAAGCCTAACATATAAAATGGATCAATTTGAAAGGTTTGTTAATAAGATTGTTGAGATCCATTATGCACCACAAATTCACATATGAAGTAATACAAAGACCTATTCTATCCACAATGAGTTGAAATCCATATCTCTTCTAGAAAACTCTTTTCTACTTAATCATATGTTGTATCTAAATGAAGTAAGAGCATCATAAGTGGTTGGTTAGATTCTTTATCTAGTCCATCATTTTCAAAGTTAAAAAAATATTATTGATGATATTATGACCTTTGATGAAACTAGTTTGATTTGGTATAAGGTTGTAAAGAATTAGTTGAACCCATCTAACTATCACTTTGGCAAGCAATTTATATACAATGCCAAAAATAATAATAAGGTGCAAATTTTTGAGCTATGACTTGCAATCCTCTTTTGGTAAGAAATAGAGCATGCCAATAGTGAACTCCTCGTGAAGAATATTGAAATTTTGGACTTCATTGAAAGTTGCAAGTAGATACTCTTCTATTATATCTAAAATTTAGAGGTAGAATTTAGTTAGGATGCCATCTAGTCTAAGGGCCCTACTCAAAGGCAATGCTTTCAGTGCTTTGTACATCTCATCTTTCTTTATTGATTCATAAAGGATTGTATTCAATATTAATGAAACTTTGTGCAAGAATTTTCTCCAATACTTTTTATAGATCTTGAGAGTCTCCTTTTAAGGTGAATAGTGATTGATAATATTAAATGATATAGGAAACCATCTCAGAATTGGTACTATATGCTTATCCTTTAAGATCTCTAAGAATCTACATAGATAAAACAAAAGTGGACTCTTTTATCTTGAGAAAGAATTTCTTATATACTTTTCTATAAAACTATGCCTATTATGCCAAAGACTTAATCATTGTCCATTTGATGTTTCTTACTTAAATATTTGTGAGTATCTGTGTGACAATGTTAAATGAAGCTTGCAAGTTTGGAAAAGGTCACACTTCTTTTGCTTATACAAGTTGAAGTTATTTACATATGTTTGTATTACTTAAAAAGCTCATATTGAAATGGAAGTGGTAGTTTACCTTATCATTTTGAAGTAGTCTTTGAATTTCAAGCTAAACAAAAATATAGTTAGAGAGAATGTTATATCCTAGTAGAATTTGGACCTTTCATCTCCTCTTCTTTTCTCAATTACCAATGTAAAATTTATCAAGGCTTATTAATCATCTGTAGTTATTAAGAACATAAATCTCAAAGAACCAAAAACTCAATATATTCTTATGTAACTCAAAAAAATAGATATTTATTCAAAATTAATATTATATTAAAATTAAAATGGCTATTGCCAAAGATAAGACAACTAGAAAGTCTTAATATAAGACTAAGGATTAAAAAGGCATTAATAAGAGTGAAGAAGGCTTCATTCTTGTTCTCATATATACTATCTAACTAAAAGCTATGTGACAACATTCTATAAGACCTCTGATATATGTCAAATTTGTCAAACCCATGTCATAACTTACAAGTGAAGTTTTTTATATGTACGCCATATCATTAGCTTGTACCACAAGCTACCAATATGTGTAATATATGGCTAACTTGTTTGCTAAGTTTCTAATCTACCAGTCACT